CCCCAAAACCCCAAAACCCCAGTCATAGAGAATAATCAGAATAATTTTGAATTTCAAAATAAAATGTTTAAAAAATAGCTCATAAAATACCCAGAGCATTATAATTTAATAAATATAAATAATCAGGAATAAACATCATACTTTTACCTGAGCTGAAAGTGACTCTTTAGCCCCAACATCACCAGAAATCTTACTATTTCTGTTATTAACAATTAACTTTGCATTTTCAATAATTTCAATAATCTCTAAGTCATTTAATTAATCCTTAGCGATGTTTTTAATTAACTCGATTGTATTTTTGTTTACAATTTTAGTATCAGATAATACTTTCATGATCTCATCATGTAATTAATAGTTTGCTTTTGATATTTTGATAAGTAATTTCAAGGATTATTCTTGTTTATTCTCAAATATTTCATATAAAATATTGGTCATTTCACCATCTTGTCTTAACTTCACCAAAATATTTTTTCTTTCATTTTTGTACTTAGGGAAAAAATCATCTAATTCTTTACCTTAATAATCTCTCATCTTAAAAGTTGTCTGGTATTATTTGTCAAAGATGTTTATAAAAGACTCATTTTTCTTCATATACTTCTCTTCATTGAACTTAGACACAATTAATTCATCTAATTCTTTACAGAATTTTTCAGTTGTAATGGAACCAAGTTAAGAGAAGGCCATTTATGATTTAATCAAATTTAGAGGTAGGGAAGTATGGAGTATACTAGCATTAAAATTGTTCTCTGTTGTAGTCTTATCAGAAATGTATTTATATTCTATATAGTAAGAGAGGAATGATTACATATTTTCCCTGCTTATTATTCTATTATTATTATAAATTTCTAAGAATTTGACTTAATCTTTTTTAAAAATATCTCCGTTATTGTTGAATAGTATACTTTTTGTAATCATATTTTTAAAGGTATAAAGTTTTTTAAATTCAATAGAAATTTTGTAAAATTCAGTAAGAAATACTATCGGATCATTTTAAAGTCCCAGTTTCCATCGTAAATCATTGAGATTATTAGATGACTTAATACTTTACCTCATAAAATGCATAGAAATGTTAGCACATTATTTCCATAATTTTTCTGTAATAGAACTTATCACCTTTCGCTTAACTTGTATATTGGTAGAATCAAATAAAGTTTAAAATTTCCCTCAAAAATCATCAATTTTTGTATCATTTTCTGGCTTAGAATTTTATTAGATTCCCAGAGAACTCATAAACCCATTGTTTGAATGCAACTACTGTAATGTAACCACTGGAGCTTTTTCTAGTCCTATAATTGAATAACAAAATTGTTGTAGATCATAGATATTATTTATTCTAAGTAATGTCTCTTAAGTTTAATAGTTTCTAATTATTCTGCTTTGCAATTTGATTGGCTTGATAAGATTTTTAAGATTTCCCAAAACTTATTAGACTGAATCAAATAGAGCTTCATCAAGTGAATTTACAGTCATTTTTGGAATGTCAGGAAACATAGTTGGATAAAAATCTTTTGTAAAGAGTATGGATTTTAAATCAAATTTATATTGCTAAAGTAAAGATTTATAGTATTCATCAATATTGTCATCATACATAAGACTAGAAAATTTAGATAGGCAACTCCTTTAGTTAATAAAAAGCCTATAATCTTTGATTTCCTCATTTAATGTAAGATTCTTGTATTTGACTAGATACCTGTAAATACTCTCCATAAAAGTTTGAACCTCAGAGTATGAAGATAGATTAAATGTACTTTGAATATCTTCCACATTTCCCAGATTATTTAAATCTTTTAGAATATCAAGGATGGCTACTTTATTCTTCTTTTGAAAATGTTTATTCCAATCTGGATCATAAAATACTTAAATCCAGTTCTAAATGTACAAAAAATCTCGTTTAATTAATAGATCATTTTTATATATGATGTTTAATATTTCCCATAAATCTATAACCTGTTGTTAGTTTTCTGGTTTCAAATTTCTCTCAGATATATCTGGAATTTTAATATTTTTTAGTTCAGCTCTTCCACAACCTTGAAGCTCAATTATCTTTGTGGAAACAAATTTCTTAATAATTGGTTCAAATAGGTAGGTCCGAAGTATACGTGAGGAATTATCATTTAAACTATTTATCGAGAGTCTTAAATGATGAATACTTGAAAATCCATTTTAAATAACAACGTCCAGGAACTATGAAAATAATTTAGCTAGATCTTGCATTACAAGACCATTTATCTTTGCTTTAAATCCAAGATTTTAGTCTAAGCAAATACCAGATCTCTTCTCGTTCGGATAAAAAATGTGAGAATTGAACACTACTGAAATATTGGAGGGTGTGGAGCCTATCAAGGGGTAATCTACAAAGAAATTAGGCACATTACTATCCATCTAAATAATATCTAAATTAGTTACATTTCCCTCTTATTTTTTCTAAACAAAACAAGCTATTGAAGATTTTTAGCTCTCGGCTTTTATTAGGAGCTATTCATTATCATTGACATAATATTTCAAAAGCGAAACATTCTTCGAATTAGAAATAGGCTTTCGATCGATTCTAAAGATTTTTTCTTTCTACTCAATCATGTCAAAAATTTCAATAATTTCAAGTTTCTTGCTAAAAGCTAGAACATAAGGAGTAGAAGAGTATAAATTCAAAAGACCCTCTTTCGCATTTTGCATTCCTATATCTGATAAGTAGTAAGAAAAACAAGTGTCAAAGTCGATTCCAGGTTCATAATAATTAAGTGGAGGCCATTTTTCATCATCATCTAGATTTTTGTAAACTTCTGATGATCTTGAGTTGTATTGTAACATTTGCTTAACACTTTTCGTGTCTCGATTAAGGATCAATTCAAACTTTTTGTAAATATTCATGCCTTGCTAGTTATAATTGAATACCCCCTCTACTTTGACCTTCTTTGATAATAAATAAGTAGTAAGGAATCCTGTACCAAACCTTCCAGTAGTCTCTGGAATTATCATTTCATCAAGATCCTAAATTTATACTTGATCTGTTTTGTGCATAGAGCGAGTAGTGTTTAGGGTAGTAAAGCTGTCAAAATCATCCTCATTTTCAACTTCCTCATTCTTTAACTCAGGTCTGTCCTTATCGGATCCTTTTTCAACTAAATTTTAAATATCCTTGAGACTGAATGGTTTCCCATTATGCATAAATCTTAATTTATTTTTCTCTAAAACTATTCTGACCTTCACAGAAATATTATCGTTTGAAGCATCCTAAGCATTTTATAGTAACTCCCAGCCCCATCGTTTTACTGCATCTGGCTCAGATTCTAACTAATCGATGCTATCAAGTATACTCTTAGCAATCTAGATCTTTCGCTCTTCGATTCGCTATTATTCAATAAGATAATCGAAACTAACTCTTTAATATTTACTTTACATTTTTATAAATTATTTGATGAGGTTTGTCTTTATATGCAAAGTAAATTCTAATTAAACTTATTTTATAAAATCTTATTCGCAAATATCTTTTGAGATAACTCTTTCGGGGTTTTGGGGTTTTGGGG